GAGTGTCTCTGCTGTGGCATCTGCGCGGTGCTTTCCTTAGTGTAGCCCAGGGGACTAAATGGACCAACCAGACCCCTAGGCAAGGGGAAACGTGCACGCCTTTCGGTGTGTTACAGCAGAAGTTGGCGCCGGGGAAGGGAGTTACAGGGCTCCGATTTAGGGCGGCAGAGGGCGGCAGATGGCGGCTTACACCGGTTCTTGGTTCTCTCGCACGCCTTTCGTCCAATGATTTAGACACTTTCTTTCCTCGTCCCAATGTTTGGTTTCCCTCCATACATGGCAAGGTTGTGATGTCCATGAGGAGGGTACATGAGGAGGGTACATGAGCAGGGTGCAAGCTAAGTACTTCCTCTCCACTACACCATCTCGTAGTCCATACTCCATAGAGACAGGGCGAGTGTGTGGTGGACCAAGAAGAGAGAGAGAGCCTGCAGAAGCTCACGTTGGGCAAACCGCAAGGCGCACCACCGACTCGGGACGCCTCGTCCCAAAGTTCAAGTATTTCCCACAAGCCCACAAGCGTGCCAAGTTCTTTGGCTGCTTCTGAGTCGCATTTGTGGCATGTATGGCGTGTGTGTGTGTGGACTGTGGACTGTGGCCTTGATCCGAACATTGGAGGCATTATCCCACCCTCATCTACCTCGACTTTCCCTTCTCGTGCACTCGACCTTGGTCCCGGTCGTAGATCCATCCGATGCGGCGTTGCCGTGCTCCGTGGTCGGCGGGGTCAACCGAAAGACAAGAACTGGGCCGGGATGGATGAGGAGGGGAACATCAATTTTCACTTCTTCTCAGAATCATCGGACAAAGTCAATACCGTGCCACATGACAGGACGCGACACAAAACAGACCCTTCTTTGCTCCGACTAGAGGGTGAAGGTAAACACAGAATATCAGCCCTGTGGGTTCTCCCATGGACCACGGTAAGAGTCATACCTCACATCGGAGCTTTTCTTGTACCCCCCGGTTTGGTGTTGTCTCTTATAATCCAGCCAAACCAGCCAGCCCTTTTCTCATGTTTCCCTCTTTTGAGTGACCGAAGCGCGCGCGTCATACTTCGCCCAGCTACAGTCTGTCCCGGAAACTCTCCTTTACACCATCTTTTCCTTTCGTCTGCCTCGTCCGCGGAACCACAGCCGGGCAGCCTGATCTTGGCCCTCGGTTGCCTTCTTTTCTCCTGATCCCTGTTTCTGCATTCTTCTGTCCGTCACTGCTGCGGCTCGGCGGCAGCCTGCTTTGGATCTACGGCGTACTACCACTACGACTACGGCACTACCCCATCAAACCCCACCAGAGAAGAGAGGCATCAGAAAAGCCGAACGCGTCGGCGCCAGATTTGCCAATATATTGCTGCCCGACCTCGGCACATCTCTTCCTATCTCTTTGTTTTCTTTGGACCTCACTGTCCTTAGGACATCGCCGACGTGTGACAATGCGGCTCTTGGTAAATAAATTGGCCTACTATCTCCCCCCCCCCCCTGGCCGGGTTACTCACATACGCACAATGCGTGGGTTATACCCGGCTGACATGGTTACAAACGTACGGGGTGGAACATCAAATAAGCTGATGAGTACGCCTCTCCCTCTTCCGTGTCCGTAGGTAGTCAACGACGACGGTCCCCCGTCCCCCGTCTCGCCCTACCTGGCACCCCTCATCACCGCCCTGAACGAGGCGGGCCACACGACCGTCGTGGTCATACCCGACAAGCCGCTCTCCTGGATCGGAAAAGCCCACGCCGTCGGCAAGACCCTGACCGCAGAGAGCAGATGTCCAGCGTCATTCTGTCCAGATGACGCCAACAAAACTTGCAGCATCCCCGGCTGCGGCGAGACTGAAGACCGCACCCATCGCTGGCTCATCGTAAACGGGCCCCCAGCAAGCTGCACCCAACTAGGCCTCTTCCACACGCCCAACCTATCGCCGCAAGACTTTGACCTCGTCGTATCGGGCCCCAACCACGGCCGCAACGCGAGCACCGTCTACGCGCTCAGCAGTGGCACCGTCGGCGGCGCCCTGGAAGCCGCGCAGTGCGGGCGCCGCGCCGTGGCCCTCAGCTTCGGGAGTAAAGACCCGCAACCGCCGACGACCATCCGCGCGGCGTGCGTGCGGGCCGTGAAGCTCGTGGAGGAGCTTGCGAGCGAGTGGCACCCGCAAGTGGAGGTGTATAGCGTCAATGTGCCCATGGTCGCCGACGTCGGTGAGGCGCCGGTGAGGTTGACGAAGATCGCGGAGGGGAGATGGGTCACGGGGGGCTTGTTCGTTCCCGTGCTCGAGGACTCTGCCGCCGACCCTGAGAAGAAGTTGGCGATGTCGGCGCCGGCATCGTCGTCGCGTACGTATCAGTTTCGGTGGGCGCCGCAGCTTGGTGATATCAAACGGCAAGCTGAGGAGAGTTCCGAGGGTGAGGACCTGTGGGCTTCGCTTAATGGCGTCATTAGCATCGCTCCGTTGAAGGCGAGCTTTACTGCCGTGAATGTGCAAGAATAAGCCTCTCTGGGGGAGGGGGGGGGTCACCCACCCCCTCCTCAATTGCTCGGTGAGAAAGGATAGAATTAGAGTTCTGGCATCCCTAGAGGTCCGTTTACGAACATGCGACATGAAGATGATGGTTCTAGATTCGGACAAATAGACTTGGAGAAACAGATTTGAACTTGGAGGTTTAGAGACGGGCTCACAATAACCCAAGTGACGAAGTAAAGACGAGCAGACTCTTAGATGGACACACAACCATTGGCGCTATCTTCAATAAAGATCCCACCGTAAATCAGACCCTCGTTCAGGTTACTGGATTGATACCCCGAGTTCACCACGTCATCGGTACCCGTGGGCTTCTTCAAGATGCCAATCTGGTACTGCCCGTCGCCGGCGAGATCAACCGGGACGACACCACCCTGCCTCGCGAGCGGGTTGTTGCCCGCCGAGTGCCATATCTGGATTGTACTTGGAGGCAGACCGTCAGCCGGAGGTTCTTTTTCGCAAAGCACCAAACGTAGTTTGATCAGTCATTCGAGGATGAACAGAGGGCTAGGAGGAGTGAGAATGGCTTAGCTCACTTGTTCAAAAAGTCCAACGTGAGCGCAAAGTTCTGCCACGACCCGTCCATCGCCATCGGCGTCGACCAGAGCAGCTTATTATCCCGATCCAACAGCTTGTACGTGTCTTTTGGTAAATCCAGCTGGCCGATGATGGTGCCGGTCTGGAAATTGAACTGATTCGCATCATACGCCGCCGTCTCGTGCCAGACATTCTGCATTTACCAAAATATTATCAGCTTGAATGCCACCAAAGTATGCATTCGCAACTTGGCCTTCACATCCTCCGTCAATGGAGGCACCGAAAGAAGAAGACTTACAAGATACTCGTGCGTCAAATTCAACGGCCTCTCCAAATCCAACCTCGCACTAAAATGCAACGTCTTCACCCCCTCCCCCGCAGGACTCCCCTCATTCGTATCCTCCGCAAACAACAACCCCGCGCGCCGGAAGCCTCGCTGGTTCATGAAGACACTCGCATCGGAAATCGTGACCTCGAGAGGACGCTTCCTCTCCGCGACATCGAAGCGGGAGGACCGTGACCCGGGCCGAGTGGAGACCGGAGCCGGGCCCGGCAGGAGGATGATATCCGACCAGGACAAGTTCGCGCCCTTCACGTAGTCTGGATTATACGGATTCCACCCACCGCCGAGGGCCGTGTCAAAGTCTTGAGGTGTCGCTTCGGCGGGGACGCGGCCGTCGAAAATGAGTGGACATTGGATCGTTGCGGCGGTACAGGGTGAAGGTGATGCCAGAGCGAGTGGGATAGCGAGGAGGATAGGGATGAGGAAAGGCGAACGCATCGTATGTTTGGACTTTTGCGAAGTGAAAGGGCCGGCTTAATAGGAGGGAAACCTCTGGAGCAAGGTAGCGTTGGACATGTTAGGGTAAGTAAGTAAAGTGATATAGCTTAGTCAAAGGAGGATGAAGCAACTCAGTTTGTCTGCTTTCCATGTGTTCTTCGAGAAGCTCGGTCGAATTCTCAAGTTGATGGTGTTCTTGATAAGTCGACGGCGGCTACGTTCCGAGACGTTTGAGGCCAAGGGAGGAGTTGTTCCAGGTTCCTAGAGAGGCTACAGCCTCACAGGTGCCGCTTGCTCCTATGGTCCCGAATAGCCAATACTAAAAGTTCTCTGCCCACAGCTGGTACTTCAGTGCAATTGATGATTGCATAAGATATCAAAATGAAGGCGAAACGCTGATGGCGTTTGTGAGATGGCTGGCCCAAAACTAGGACTGGCCAGTCTTGTGTTACCATGCAGTCAACACGCTATCAAGCTGCAAGGCATTCATAACTTCCGGAAAGAAAGCAACAGTTGAAAGTCCAGAGATCAACCCGTCGCTGAGCTCATCGTCAACCTCAAGTCGATTACACAACATAGCCCCCGTGTAGAGAATATCGTTTGAGCAAACAGGGCTGAGTAGACCTTCATGAAAGATATCGATCAATGTCTCCAATCGCATCAGCTACTTAACCGCAGTTCGTCCGAGTGCAAAGTGGAAGAGACATTGCCAATTCCCGTCACGTGTGTCTCTGCCTAATGTCATCGGTGCAGATACGAAATACGATCCGGGGGACTCAGCCCCGGCTGCGTCCAATGGCGAGCTTCGGTGGGGTGCGCCGGATGGGGCCGTGAATGGCCGCTTGGTCGCTTGGCTGCTTGGATCCATTGCCCGGCGGTGATCGGCCTCGCACGGGATTGGAGTTGCTGGCCTCATAGTTGGTAGTCTTTGGGGAAGAAGACGTAAAGTTTGGGAAGTAAGGGAGCAGGGCAACTGGATGCTTTTGAATTTTGTATAAAGTATGGGCTTACTGTCTTCATTCTCGGCGACCACCCTACTAGATTACAGAGACGTACAGCCTTTTCTCATACTCTCAAGGTATTGCAGCAGTGGGAAGAGAACATTGAAATCCCAAGATTTTCGTCACCACAATTGACTTCAAGCCAAAATCACGAACAGTCATAATGAACTTCATGGGCAGAAAAAGCGACGTCAAGCAAGAAGACGTGGCCAACGTCCCGCCGGAGCTATCAGACCTGCACTGCTTCACAGAAACGGGCGGCGTCATCACAACCAGTACGTCCGCATCTTTACCCCATCACTTACCTTACCTTACCTTACCTTGTACACTCCATATACATACCTTACACAGCAGCGATGCTTACACAGGAGCAGCAATGTTCGACATCCCCGGCTACCGCGTTACCCGCACCCTAGGCGCAGTCTACGGCCTCTCGGTGCGCTCGCGCAACATCGCCGCGAGCCTGGGCATGGTGATCAAGTCGCTTGCGGGCGGGGAGCTGCGGTGGTTCACGACGATGCTGTATAACTGCCGGAACGATGCGCTGGGGAGAGTGGTGAGCGAGTGTAAGCAGAGGGGGGGCAACGCGATTATTTGTTTAAGGTTTGATGCGTCGGATTTAGGCGGGTTCGCGCAGACGTGTGCGTATGGGACTGCGTGTGTTGTTGAGAAGGTTGAGGGAGGAGAAGGGGTTGCGCCGCAGCTTGGGGGGAGTTGAGAGAGTGTGTAGCACTGTAGAATGAGACGGGGCGGGAAGTGAAAGGAAAGGGGGAGAAGAAGGATGAGGTGAGGTTGTCGTGGGGTTTGAGCTTGGCAGGGTGAGATTTTTGTTTCACGGAGGATTGCGGTTGTGTGAGGTATTCTGAAATGGAGGCCTGAGGTAGCTGGGCAGAGGAGGTTTGATACCACTGCGTTGTAGTTGATATTATTTTGAGAGGAAGCTGAATCGAGTACTTTGACAAGTCAAACATGTTTGGACAGTCAAGTATAGACTGCTCTTATACGGAGATCATGGAACAGTGATGGTCTGTTGTCGATGATCTGCAGTTGATGTCGTGATGTTCGTGCATTGATGAGGACCAGATGGATCGCAGATGAAGTTGAGATGAGAAACAATGATTAGCCAATGTCTGAGTGAAGAATATGCCTCTCTCTTACTCAATTGAGATGAGAACATGGACCTGATAGACCTGCCTCATATGGAATATTTGGCTTGCAGATGGAAGAAACGAAGGTGCAGATGCAGCTGGTCTTGAGGTACAGTCAGGTACCTTGAAATGGCAGGGTCCGAATCCCGCGATAAGGCAAGATAAGGGCCGCTTAGCTAAGACCTGCTACATTCGAACAAGTAAACGAGACACCCGTAGCACCCTGCTAACTCCCCCCGGCTAGCTCCGAAGAACCATTGAAACGGGCCAAGCCCACTTGCTACCGCGCTCCGCATCCGTCTCCCACAGCAGTGGTACTCGACATCCAGGCCACCTCCGCCAGGGGACCCGCCACTAAACCCAAGCCAATGGATGCACCTGTGGACCACCCGCAAAGCTCCCCAGCCCAGCACCCCGATAGGTGTACCAAGTGCTCTTTGTTCGTTCATTGACTCGCCTCCACGGCCTCGGCCTCGTCCACGTCCACTTCACGATCCTTCGCACCTACACAACTCTCCGACATTCCCCCTTCTCCTCCTTCACCCACGGGTCCTTCTCGTATCTTCTTGCGTGCTCGTGCTACCCTTCCGACGGCCCTCCTGCGATACCACCAGATACGAACCCTCCGGTCCATGGGGTGTCGTTGCGTCCTTTGATTTCCAAAAGAGGGCTGAAGCTGCCTCGAGACAGCATGCCGTTTCAAGTCACCGCGCAATCCACCTAGTTTCGATCCCATCTTTCTTTAGCTTTGCCATCTGCTGCCCTGCTGCCCTCTCGCCTTGGCATAGCTTACCCCCCGGACGGAAGAACCGAACCTACCGTCAAACCCTCCCGACCGACGAACTGATAACCACCCGACGAGACCTCTCCGTCTCCGTTCTCCGACACCATGGACCCAGCACCAAGCGCTTCCGCTGCACCCACCGCCGAGGACCCCAGGATGTCCCACGAATCATCCCTCTCGAGCGTGTCCACCACCAGCCTCGTCTTCGACCGTCTGCATGAACAAAATGAAAAGTCATACTCGTCTTCATCTTCCCAGAGACGGCGCGCCCCGTCCGCCTCGCGCCCCGCTTACGCCGACCACCCGGACGACGACGATGACAACGATTACAAAGAGTCCGACGCCAATGACCTCGAGACGGGGCCCTTTCTGGCGCCCACGACGGGCATGATGCGCCGTGTAGGCATGGACCGCGGGCTGAAGAAGGGGATATGCATACTCGCTGCCGCATTCCTCCTCGCATGGGGAGGTGCTCTGTTCGTCTTCTTGTCTCGCAAGTCATACCAGCACGGCAGTCAGGTCGACCACGACCCCTCTGCGACATCGCGCGGATCCGGCAAGCCGGTGACCTTGGACCAGATCATGACCGGCTTCTGGTCGCCCTACTCTCACTCAATAAGCTGGATCGAGGGGCCTAATGGAGAGGATGGCCTGCTGCTCGAGCAGGGTGCGCGAGGCAAGGATTATCTCGTGGTCGAGGACGTCAGGGCGGGCAAGCTGGACCGCCAGGTCTCCGCCGAGGTCGTCCAGAGTCGCACGCTCATGAAGAATCCTTGGATCAACGTTGGCGGCCGCCAAATGACGCCGTACGACGGCCGTCCGAGCAAGGACATGAAGAAGGTGCTCGTTTCGACCGATCGCAAGCACAATTGGCGCCACTCTTTTACCGCGCTGTACTGGATCTTCGACGTCGAGACCCAGACTGCTGAGCCTCTTGACCCCGAGCATTCTGACGCGCGTGTACAGCTTGCGACGTGGAGCCCTCAGAGCAATGCTATCGTTTTCACTCGGGACAACAACTTGTTCTTAAGAAATCTTGACGGTGACAAGAAGGTTACGCAAATAACAAAGGATGGTGGCCCCGAGTACTTTTACGGTATTCCCGACTGGGTGTACGAGGAGGAGGTCTTTGCCAGTAACAGCGCTACATGGTACTCTCAGGATGGCAAGTATGTCGCCTTCTTGCGCACCAACGAAACGGGTGTGCCCGAGTACCCACTGCAGTACTTCATGTCTAGACCCTCGGGCAAGGAAAAACCCGCCGGCGAAGAGACATATCCGGACGAGAAGCGCATCAAGTACCCTCGTGCCGGTAGCCACAACCCCGTCGTAGACCTGCTCTTTTACGATGTCGAGCGTGGCGACGTTTTCGCCGTGGACATTGAGGGTGGTTTTGCCGATGACGACAGACTCATCAACATGGTCCTCTGGGCTAACAACAAGGTCCTCATCAAGGAGACCAACCGCGTGAGCGACATCATGCGCGTGGTTCTCGTTGACGTCGTGGCTCGGACGGGCAAGACTGTGAACACCATTGACGTTGGCAAAATCGACGGCGGCTGGTTTGAGATTTCTCACGAAACCCAGTTCATCCCTGCGGACCCTGCCAATGGAAGACCGGACGATGGATATGTCGATACTGTGATCCACGATGATGGCGACCATATTGCCTATTTCTCGCCCATGGACAACCCCGAGCCTGTCTACCTCACGGGTGGCAACTGGGAAGTCGTGAACGGCCCCTCCGCCGTCGACCTGGCCAACAACTTGGTCTACTTCGTGTCAACTAAAGAGTCCTCTATCCAGCGTCACGTTTACAGCGTCCACCTCAACGGCTCCGACTTGAAGCCGTTCACGGACACCAACTTTGAGAGCTACTACGACATTTCTTTCTCCAGTGGCGCAGGCTTCGGCCTTCTCTCGTACCTGGGCCCCAAGATCCCTTGGCAGAAGGTCATCAGCACTCCCAGCAACCCCACCAGTTACGAGCATGTCGTCGAACAGAATACACAGCTTGCCGAAAATGCAAAGAAGTACGAGCTTCCCATCCTCAAATACGGAACCATCAAAGTCGACGATGTCGAGCTCAACTATGTCGAGCGCCGCCCTCCCCACTTCAGCGAGAAGAAGAAGTACCCGGTTCTCTTCCAGCAGTACTCCGGCCCCGGATCCCAGTCCGTGAGCAAGAGGTTCTCCGTCGACTTCCAGTCCTACATCGCCTCCTCCCTCGGCTACGTAGTCGTCACGGTAGACGGCCGCGGCACCGGCTACATCGGCCGCAAGAACCGCGTCCTCATCCGCGAGAAGCTGGGCCACTGGGAGGCCATTGACCAGATCGCCGCCGCCAAGCACTGGTCCGCCCTCAAGTACGTCGACTCGGCCCGCATCGCCATCTGGGGCTGGAGCTACGGAGGTTTCCAGACCCTCAAGACGCTCGAGATGGACGCCGGCCAGACCTTCAGCTACGGCATGGCCGTCGCGCCCGTCACGGACTGGCGCTTCTACGACTCCATTTACACGGAGCGATACATGCGCACGCCGCAGCTCAACCCGGACGGCTACGACCAGACGGCCATCTCCAACGTCTCCGCCCTCGCCGGCAACGTGCGCTGGCTGATGATGCACGGCGTCTCGGACGATAACGTGCACTACCAAAGCACCCTCACCCTCCTCGACAAGCTCAACCTCGAAGGCGTCGAGAATTACGACGTCCATGTTTTCCCTGATAGCGACCACGGTATTTACTTTCACAATGCGAACAAGATTGTCTACGATAGTGAGTCCAACCCCCCCGTCACCCCAGAGGCCCCAACAGGACACTCGGAGAACCCATACTAACCGCACCGCCTCCTAGAACTAAACAACTGGCTCATCAACGCCTTCAACGGAGAGTGGCTCAAGGTCGCCGATGCCAAACCAATGATTGAGCCCAAGGTGAAGGAGAAGAGGTCGAGCATAGCCAAGCTTGACGGTGTACCAAAGTCTTAATTTTATTATCTGGTTTATTTAAAGATGGAGTTTTTGGAGCGAAATCAAACTATGTCAATTTTTTGAAGCTATCGCATTGATAGAATCTACTCGGGCGCACGCTCAATCGCAATTTCAAACCCGATAGACACATTGTATTGAATATGATGCAGAGGCAGGTTGATACCTCCTTGATGTGATGCCATTCTTGGGCTGTGGACTACCTGTTGCCCGTTCAGGGACTAGGGTTGGTAAAATGGGTTGGGACCTTGAGTCTTTGGTCCACGAGATACTTATATCAAGAGAAGCGCAGACGAGGCGATTCACATGAAAGCTTTGGCACATCATTCGTCATCAGAAAGAATCAACGTTAAAAGAACTATCATACAGTTTTGGGCTCGGGCGACAGGCTCGCGATATCCCTGAATCGGTCCAGTAATGGCAAGAGTCTAGCGTAGTGTGTGCACATAGGAAAAATAAGGCACCACCCCCATAGTTTCCCTTCGCGTAACACACTCCATCCGCCTGCCTAACATGCTCATCCATCCAGAGAGCAAAGAAGATACGATTACAGGAAGCCCTTTGGTTATCTCAACGCCATCGTCCGCGTTCGTTGAATTTTAAAGGCGCAGGTGAGTAGACCCCACCAGCCGCCAGATACCTCATGCCGCCGAAAATAATAGACCGGGGATAAAACTGTGTGGCCCTATCATGTAGCCTCGCTAGAGGCACAAAAATCCAACCACGTTCTGGTGTCCTCATCTAGAATCCAAAGCCAGTAGGCTGGGGAGCGAAGCCGTTGGTCTGACCGTAGGGCGC